GCCGCCCTTTTGGTCCCGAACTGGCAGCCCCTCACCATGCCTACCACTATATGCCAGTACGATTCTTAAACTCTCAACCACCTTTGCTGGCCCTTTAAATTTTACTCATTCACCACATTTGAGGCAATTTCTTTACCAAATCTTCATGAACGCCCAGGGCCTTTTTTACAATATCGAAGTATAAAGTTCTTTGCAATTTTTTTCTCATTTATCCACACCAATAATAAATTCTCAACCCCTTCCAGTACTGGGGGATCTCATTTTTGTCAGATAGTTACCCCTTCGCAAAAACGCATCCTTTATTTCCTTTTTCTTGGCCACTTGGCTAAGGTTGTGAAGGGTTTCTAACATCCTGGGGCAGTTCGGCCACACTTGTACCACTTTTATATTGTTCAATGATGGGTTTTTTTAAATTCAATGTATTTCTCACCTTTTTACCACAGGCTTTGGGACTTGGAGCGTTCTTTGGGGCCCTGGTAGCTTATTTTTTTACTTGCAAGCATTTAAAAAAAATGGAATTTTGAAATATTTCGCTGGAGACGTGAGGGGGGCCTTCGCTCACTGGTACACAATGCCGACTGGTGCCGCCCGGCTACGCCCTGGGTATGCGTCCCCCGGGCGGAACTAGATGGCGAGTCAAACCCATGAAAAGCGGGCCCTGTTTATACGAAAATACCCTTGATTGGGGAATTTTTCGATTTTGGGGCCCGAAAAGCGGGGCCATGTTGTATATATATATATATATATTATATTTAAATATATTAATAAATTATAAATATATTTTTTTTTTTTTTATTATATATATATATATATATGTAGACTAGGAAAATCGCTTTCACTATTTTTTTTTTTTTTACACAAATCAATTTTAGGGTTTTAAGAGCTGTTATCCCCAGGATACGACCCACAACATCAATTAACACCCAGGTTACTCACTGCAAGGTAACATTGCTTCAAGAAGAGGTATTAAAGCTATAGAGCGGGGAGAGTTCCCTATGCGACCAGTAAAGAGGCGGGGCCAGGAGTGTGTTCGACTCTGCAACCACAAAAGATGATAAAGGGCAACAGGAGTAAAAAAAACATGCCCAATGTTTCCCCCCATCCGGGAAATCGAACCACTGACACTCATTAGCTAGTTGGTGTGTTACCATTTATTATGTTTGGCAAACCTGTTATAAAAAAAATTTTAAAATCATAAATTAAAATTAAAATTTAATAAATTTTTATTTCTCTGATGCGTTTAAAAATTTTTTTATTGCACAAACTGCAAGTCATTGTAAGTTTTCGCTCTTACATCGTTATAAGGCATTTATAAACACATTGTTAGCATTATTTTCCCCCCAAGTGCTCAACTCATTTGAAATTTCCTGTAAAAACTGAATAATTTTGATTTTTCTAATTTTTTTTTGGGTTGGCGTTTTTCACAAGCACGTTTTTTCTTCCACTTCTAACTGTTTTGTATATGCTTTTAAAATTTTCCCTTATTTTTTGTTACAAAGGGGACCTTCTCCTTCATTTTCCTAGTTTTCCTTCCTAGAAACTGTTGGCAACTTTACTCCCGTCTACAAGGTTGGGTTTAGGTAAGGTTGGGGAAATTTAAAAAAATTATGCAACTCTGGGAATCTTTATTTAGGAAAATTTCGCCACCAAAATGGCAGGTCCCACTGTGACCCGCCTCCTCCGCTTCGACTCACCTGACTGCAGTATATAAACCACCCTCTGGCCCTGTGCTGTACTTCCACAAAGGTGGAGAACATGATTCCCGGGTTTAGGGACTGTTGCCTCAAATCCTTCTTCCTTACCCATTTCTACTTTGTATTGGGGCTGATGAAGCCACTGTGGGAGAAACGTTTCTTCAGTAAAAATTCCCCCGAGTTTCTAAGTGTCTCAATTTTTCAAATTTCGGTTTTCAAAAACCATTCATCACATAGGTAAGGTTTTGTCAGAAACAGGACAGGTGTTTCCTGACGCGGGGCTTGGTCGATATGCCCGCGCTGGAGTTTTTGGCCAACTGACCGAGGCCTTACCCAGGTTCCCAGTTCACCCTTTAAAACTTAAGGTTATGATTATAACCACTGATTTTTTCACCTCTTCATTTTTTCCAATGAGCTTCCGATTAATTTGGAAATACATATGAGCAAAATGTTTGAATTTGTCATAAAGGTTTATTTTATGTTTCATTTAAATTCATTTGCAATGACCTTTCCCTACTGAATTTCTGCTGCCTTCAGCAAAAACAGCTTTTTTTCAGTGACTCTTGTTTAAATTATGCCTTTTGCATATTTTTAGAAGGATTTTTTTTTACGTCATTGCCTTTTACTGCCATTTTTGCAGACGCTGTTAAATTATTATAGTTTTTTTCCCACCTCATTGTTACCTTTATAGTTATCATTACGACAGCGATATTAAAGTTAAAAACTGTCTCTGCTTATAGCACAAGCCTCGGTTAACAATAACTAATACATTTAACATAAATTTGCTTGCGCCGTCTAGTGGCGCAAACGCACTGCCATCTTGTTTTTATTTTAGGTTTTCGTTAATTCTGCTTTTGTTAAATATTTTTTACTGTTATTGCTTTCGACTGGTGTTTTGTTGTGTTTACGTAGAGGCCCAAGCGAGGTGGTAGTGGTTGTTGTGGTTGTGGTGAAAGCATTGGGGTGTAGGGGATGGAAGAGGTTATAAAAATGGGAAGGTGGTTGTTAGGGTTGAGGGTGGTGGTGTGGTGGTGGTGGTGGTGGTGGTGGTGGTGGTGGTGGTGGGTGCAGTGGTTGTAGTGGTTGTTAGGGTTGAGGTGGTAGTAATGATGGGTTCATGGTTGTAGGGGTCGTGGAGAAAATAGTAGCTTTTCTCGGGGGTTCGGTGGTGGGGGTGTCTGTGTTGGTTGTGGTGGTGCGGTTGTGGTAATTGTAGTAGTTGTGGAAGCAGTAACTGTTGTAATGGTGGCGGTGGTAGTGGTGATTGTTGTAGTGATGGTGGTTGCTTTGGTGAACATTGTAGTGGTTGTTGCAGTGACTGTATTGGTTGTGGTGGTGGTTGTAGTGGTTGTGCGGTGGTTGTACGACTGTGATAAAGATGTGGGGAAAGAAGTGTCCCGGGGCCCAAGACTGTTCAACGGCCTTCTACCAGCCATAAGGGGAATTACCAATATAACCCTGGCTGCCTTCAAGAGGGAGCTGGATGGATACCTATCAGTACCTGACCAGCCGGGCTGTGGTTCGTACGTCGGACTACTTGGGCCAGCAGTAACAGCATCGTTGATCGGCCCTGATCCCTCGGGAGGCCTGGGCATGGACCGAGTGCGGGGGTGTTGATCCCCGGAATACCCCCTAGGTAGATCCAGGTTGTACAAATGCCGACAAACACTGCATCGACAAACGCTGCTAGCCACCGAGGTCAGCTAGCCTAAGAACCTGGCCTCTCCATCACACACCTTTTCCACACAGCTCTGCACACTCCCAGACGCCGGAGTCTTTGCATAAACTAGAGCCCGGGTTTGCATTCGACCCCGTAGCCAGCTGGAACAAGGATGACTGGGAGCCAGGATTAGAGGATCGGAGTCCGAAGGAGGGACTGGGAAACGAACTGGTGGGGTGAGAAGGAAGGAACTGGGAAGGAAGGAGGGGGGGGGGAAGCTGGAGGATTAGAAGGAAGTTAGAGAAAAGATTAGGAAGAGGCTCAGAAGATTGGAAATGAGATGTGGAGAGGAATGAAAGGGGGGGGGAGAGGGAAAGAAAGGCACGGAAGTGGACCCGAGAGGCAGAGAGAAAAGCATTGGAGAGGAACAAAAGGAGAATCGTATGAGTAAGAAGGGGAAGCGAGGCGAAAGATTTCGAGGGGAAGGATGATCATACGCCGTGGAAGTGATCGTACACTATAGGGGTGATCATACACCGTAAGGGTAATCATACACGATTTCCAGGGTAGTGAAATGAATGTATCATGATTTTCAAGGTAGCAAAATGAATGTGTATTGATTCGAGGAGCTGCAGCACATGAGTCAACTCTTGTAAATGTTTACCTCTGAAACTTTATTATTTTGTAAAGTTTTTACAAAATTATACTATTAACATGTGTCACATTGTTAAACATGTGAATCGGCTGCGACCAGCCGAGATTAGATCCTGCGACACATTCTCCCCCACCTCAAAAAACAAAAAACGTTCACATTGCCTTATCTACTTAACCAACGATCCTTCAAAGATCACCTAGCCTCTAGAGGCCTTGAGCTTGCCACTACCACGAGTGTCCTCGGATCACGAATAACACCTAGCTCCACTGGGTGCTTGATCTTTAAAGGATCGCTGGTTAAGTAGATAAGGCAATGTGAACGTTTTTCTGTCTTTGAGGCGCGGAGAATATGTCGCAGGATATATAATATTATATATATATATATATATATATATATATATATATATATATATATATATATATATATATATATATATATATATATATATTATAATATATATATATATATATATATATATATATATATATATATACAATAAGATCACAGAAAACAGGTGATTATAGAATAAACAAAACAATCACTGTGAAAGAATAGTGAAATTCCAAGCGCTTTCGTGACTTCTCACATTATCATAGTTCCTTGATAATGTGAGGAGTCACGAAGCACTTGGAATCTCTCAATCCACACGGGATTCGAACCAACAAACTCTGCATCAAAGTACGAAGTACTTTTGTCACACAGTCGGACCCCAGATATAAGTATGGGCCCCTAGCCTAAGCTAGGCGGTGTATCCCATTCCACGGAGCACCAGGCTTGTGATAAGTTATTTCATCAAATCCCGCCACATGCAGTGAATTGGTTGTCTTGCAGAAGTACTATGGACTTTGATGCAGTGCGTGTTATTTTCGAACCCTGCTGTGAACTGAGAGACAATGTTCGCAAATAATTTGCATGTCTAAGACTTTTTAAGCATTCCAAAATCTTTTTTGAAGTTCACTCAGTTACTGCAGCCATAAACAGAACGACTCACCTGGCAGAGGGGAATGTGAACTTCACCTATAGAGTCGTCCCTAGAAAAGCGATCGTAGTCGAATACATGAAGGTGGAGCACTCGACTCTGTAGCTTCTGAATAGGAAACCCTGTGGACCGAAGATAGTGTTGATTATGCGAGTCTGGCAGTGATGCAAGCTAGAACTTGGGAGGGGAGGGAGAGAGAGGGAGGGAGGGATAGAGAGGGAGAGAAGAAGAGAGGGAGATGGTGGCAAGTATCTGAGAGGTAGGGGAAATTAAAGGCAGGTAGAGAAAACGAAGGGTGGTAGGTAAGAGAAAGGAAAAGACGTAGATATAATTTAAGAAAGTAGAGAAGAGATGTGGATGTAGAGATAATGTAGGTAGATAAGAGGGAGCAAGGAAGGCAAGAGTGTATTAGGTAAAGAAGTGAAGAAAAGAGAAATATGATACAGATATGAAAGAAGGAAGTAGGGAAGAGAGGAAGTTGATATATGCAAAATATGCAAGTACACACACAAAAAAGAGCATATGAAAAAATGAACACACAAAAACACACACACAAGAATGCACACTCAAAGAAAGGGGAACACACAAGAATTACACATATAAAAGGTACACACAACAAAGTGTGCACACACACTGAACCCCGGGCTCCAAAATATTAGCTTTGCTCCGGGGTTAGTAAGTAAAAACCCCCATCACACACGGGCCCCTCTCTCTTTTCCCCACCTTTCAAAGAAGTAAAATCTCATGCCACGGGGATGGATTTCCCGTCTCTTAATCTTGGTCTAAAAGTTTGGGTGTTTTTTGCCCTGGCAAAAAGTGTGACTCTGACGTGGGGGTCCTCGTCCCACTAAAAGGCCCTTTTTGCTGTAGTTCCTTAGCCTGTTGGGGAAAGGCAGGGAGTCAGACGAAAAGTTTTTGGGAGGAAATTAGTGAAAAGGGGTGTTGGTGGTTTTTTGGAAGGGGTGGGAGGGGTATTGGAGTGTAAGCGATCAGTGTACTGTGGGGGGTGACGTCAGAGCGTGTGGGGGTTCGTGATGTAAATTTTGGTTTTTAGGTGATGTCAATGAGGTTTGTTTGATGCCATTGTGGTTGTTTTTGGTGATGATAATTAGATGAGAGAGAAAGAGAAAGAGGAGAGGGGAGAGAGAAAGAAAAGGAGAGAGAGAGAGAGAGAAGAGAAAAAGAGAGAGAGAAGAGAGAGAAAAGAGAGAGAGAGAGAGAGAGAGAGAGAAGAGAAAGAGAGAGGAGAGAGGAGAGAAAAGAGAGAGAGAGAGAGAGAGAGAGAGAAAAAGAGGCAATTTGGAATTACACAATTTCCCCAAAAACAAAAAAAGGGGAAAAAACTTCTAACAAACACAAAACAAGCATAAAATAAGAAAAGTCCCGGGGAAACCCTTTTTAAAACCGAAAAAGGTGGACCCCAATTTGGGTACAGAGATAATTGAAAAAAATTTAACTAAAGTTCGTATACAATTTTCCGTCAGCACATAAACCCCAAGTTTCCCCTTCTATTCAAAGTGTCGGGAAATTTCTTAGAACCTCTTAGGTTTTCTAAATAAAAATTGCAAGTCTGATATTTTCTAAAATATGATTTTTTCCACTTCTTTGACAAAACAATAAAAATCCCTTTAAAACCCTCTAAATTTTTGTTTTTTTATGAAATTTTGGGTTTTTGGCTGTTAACATACGTAAGCATATAAAAAATATAATATAATTAAAATCTATTATAAAATATATATATAAATTTTAATATAATTTATTATATTTTATATATATATAAAAAATATATATGCCTTTCCGGGAGAATAGGCAAAAACTTGCAAATTTTGGGTTTTAAAGGGACAACTTTTCATCTTTGCCATATAGGACAATTAAAAATTTGTGTACCCAAAAATTTTCGCCAAACTCTTTTCTAAACCCTAAGGGAAAAAAAAAATTTTAAAATTTGTGTTTGTTTGGGTTTTAAAATTATTTAAAAAAAATCAAAAATATATTTTTTTGGGTAGGCTAAAATAAATTGCGTTTGGGGTTATAAAAAAAGGGGTTGGGGTAATTTTTTCTAATTTTCCTTTTTTGGGGGCCCAAAATTATAAATTTTAACATAAACATTAAATAAAAAAAATATATCTTTAAACGAATAAGAAAAAAATTTTAAAAAAGGATTTAAAATTTAAATGATTTCTTTGCTAATCGCCATTTTTACATTTTCCCCGGCACGCCCATAAAATATATATATATATATAAAATATATATATTAACTTAAAAAAAAAATTTATATATTAAAATAAAACAAAAATAAAATTTTATAAATTTAAAAATATAGAAAAAATATAATAATAATATTATATATAATAATTATAAATATATATAAAATCAAAATATAAATATAAATAAATAAATATATTTTTAAAAATATATATATATTTTTATATATTATATATAAAAAATAAATTATAAAATATGCATGCAAAACATCCACTGTGAAAGAAAAGTGGATTCCAAGCGCTTTCGTGACTACTAAAATTTATAAAGGGGAACAATAAAAGTAATCCCTTTAAAGGGGGAAGGATAAAAAGGGGGTCTAATCACCCCACCCCCAATCCCAAAAACAAGGGGGGGGAAACACCTGACGCGGGGACTCATGGGGAAAAAGGGGGAACACTGGGCAGGGTAAAAAAAGGGGGGGGGGGGGGGGGGGGGGGAAAAATTTAAACGGGTTTAAATGGCAACCCAAAAAACAAACAAATTCAAAACCCAAGAAAAAAGATTTAAAATGTGGCAATGTATTATTAAATTTTTCCCAAATTCTTTTAATTAAAAATACATCTAATTGCAAAATATATTATATAAAATATATAAAATAAATATTTTAATTTATATAAAATATATATTATAATATATATATATATATATATATATATATTTTTAAAATTTTATTTTTCCAGTAACCCTGTGAGACGTTCAAAAAAAGGTTCTATAAATTTCCCAAATTTTTGAGAACAAGAAAAAAACGGGTCATGATTTCTTGTTTAAAAAAATGGTTTTAAGGAATTTAAATTTTGGGAAAACCAAAGGGTTTCCAAGTTAAAGCGAAAAAATTGGCTCTTGGGGGCGGACTGGGGCTCTTTGATTTTGTTGGGAAACTCTTAGAATGTATTGAAAATCTTGCAGTACACTGAAGCCATGAAATTTATGAAGGATATTGCGAATCGTTTGAAGATTTTTGGGAAAGAAAAAAGGAAACTCTTGGAGTTTAAATGAAACCTTTTTACAGTAATTTAAACTCTTAAGTGAAAAAGAAAAATCTTTGGGGGGGATTAAAAAACCTTGGGGTGAAATGAAATTCTTTTAAAAAAAATTTAAAACCAAAAGGAAAACAAAATTTGAACTCAGTAAATCTCTTTAAATGGGGGAGAGCTTTAGGTTTATTGAACTCTTGAATAAAAAAGGGAAATTCTGAAAAAAATTAAAACATTCGTTATAAAAAAAAAAAAAAATTTTTTTTTTGAAAAAATTTTAAGCTCTTGGGAAGGGACTGAAGCCATTGGGTTTTTACTGAACCCCGCTGGGAAAAGGGGTAAAACTCTTTGGGGAAAGGGTTAAGCTCTTGAGATAGAAAGGGAAAAATTTTTTGGGATAGACTGAAACCCCCCTCGACAATCTGTAGCTGTTTGGGGTACACGGGAAAAATTTTGTGGTAAAATTTAAGCTCAATGAATTTAAAAAGAGTGTCTTGGAATGATTAAAAGTGGGGTGAATAAAAGTTTTTTGGGAAATCCAAAGCTTTTTGGGGAAAAGGTTTAAGTTCTTGATACAAAAAATAAAAAAAAGAGATAAGATTTTAAGATCTTAAAAAAATATTAAAGTTATCGGGAAAAAAACGAGTATCTTGGGAAAAAACTGAATATATTGGGAATGGGGGGGAAAATCTTTAGATACATTGAAACTTTCGGGGTATAGTGAAGCACTTCAAAAAGCGGAAGTTTTTTGGAATAAATTTAGGGCTCTTGTGAATTTAAAGGGTTTGGAGTAGATTGGGGGAAAATTTTGAAAATAGTTTTTATTTTTTTTTTTGATGACCCTTTAATTCGGGCTTTAGTGCACGCATTTCCCCTCCCCTTAATGAAAAAAACATTTCATGTTGTAATGACAGTCCCAAAAGGGGGGACTGGGGAAGTCCACTTTTTAAAAGTGAAAGAATTACATAGTTTTTTCTACGTCCTCAGCCGGGTTTATCGTTTTCCTGTTCAAGCCGAACTGTATTTTCCCTTTTTTTAACTCTGGTACGTAAGTGAGAAAAATTTATTAAGTAAAGAGGATGAGTTTGACACACGGGAAAGTTTGAAAGACGTCTCAGCTCATCCAGAAAGGGGAAAAGAATTCTTTTTTAAAGATTTTTCTACATTTTTAAGGGGTCTTCAGACCGCCTCAAAAGGGGGGGGGCAGTGGGTTCGTCATGCATTAACCGTGAACACGGGTTTTAAATTTAAAACCCCGTGACCCCGATTTGAAAAAAACTGGGGGCATTTTTTTTTTCCGTGCCCATGTCTTCGTCCGGGGGAACGACCCCGGGTGAAACGAACATTTAAAAGCGCACTCTTTTTGCATGGGAAATGCACTATGATTTAACTTGGGCAAAATATCTATGGTAAAAGGTTTTATTTAAAGTTTTTAAAATATTTATATAACAAAAGAAAAAAAGACAGTGCTAGGCAAATGTAAGAAGATTTAAAAGAGGGACGGGGTAAAAGGAATATAGTACTGGATAGGAGTAACCCCTAATTATGATTGTTAAAATTTTTTTAATTATTGTTTTTGTTAACGCTTTTTTTTCAAAAAATAAGACCGAAAAGTTTATATTACATCGCGCAAGGGTTCATTAATATTTTAGTAAAAACCTGGTCAAAAATGTAAATAAACAAAAAATAAACAAGTAAGAGGGGTAAGGGTTTTATCTGCTTGAGGTTGAGGTCCCGCTTAAGAGGTTCCCCAGACGAGGTTGGGAAAATCCGCTGCTTTTCTTACTGTCTCCCTTTACTTTCCCTTTTTAGGGTTCTTTTTTAATTTTATATGGAGTTTGGTAATGTGAGAGGGGGTTTTGCCCAATTTGTGACCAAGAACA